TTTTTACTATTAAATCCTTTTACTAACGGACAAAAAAGATTAATATATATGAAAATTATATAATTTGTGAGGCCTATTTTAGGAAAGAAAACTATGAGATGAAAATGTCAATATCACCACAGTGCTTCCCTTTATATAATAGAAAAACATAAAAATATATATATATATATATATATACAGAAGTGATTGAGACCCCTCAATCACCAACACCCACCACCCCCACACACATGTGGGGGTTGGGGGATTGGAGGAGGAGGAGGAAAAAAAAAAAGACTGGCCAATCACAAGTCAGAGGGGGTTGTGGGGGTCACCCATGGAGGGGATCCGGATCATATGTATCAGTCATTGACACAAGTGATATGTGTGTGATTAAAGTAAATAAAATTAAAATTAGAATTAATATCATAAAACTGCTAATAGTGTTCTTTCTTAAACTAGAGGTCTTGGTCTAAACTTTTATACATCTATTTATATAAATATTTTTATTTTAAATAGAAAAATGAAAAACATGTGATATAAAGATAAACAAGTATAGGCTTGAACACCATTTCAATAAAACAAGCAAATACTAATTACACAAGCATTGCACCCTCTTGCAGTTTTGAATTTGCAACCCACCTCACAAAGAATTGCACCCATCATATTTTGCTAATTTTTTTTTAGACCCACAATAATTGTTTTGATAAGAGGTGCATTCATATATTAGTTTTTAGAAGAAATAATAAATCAGTGACAATTTAAAAAAATAAATATCAATCTAATAAAAAAAATTGACAAAATTCCTTTTACCCACCTCAGAGCACTTTACACCCCTATAGTTCAAATATTGGCAAAAACATCCTTTATAATTTTGGACTAAAGTGCTACCGTTTGTTTTTTTCGTTAAATATAACGAAAGGTGTGTTACACTCTCTCAAATTGAGAGTGGACATTCAAAAGTCCAAGTCAAAATAAAAAATTGAATCAAATGTCAATAATACCCTCATATTCATCTTGTTCTCTAAATTGAATATTAATCTGAACCAAACCCTAGCCCTAATTGTCATCTTTTATATTAAAAAAAAATTTAATTTAATTTAAAATATTATTAAATCAGAAATTTGGTTAAAAATAATAGTATATTAAAGTAATTTTATGGCAATAAATTATAATAATTAGGTTAATTTATGGTTTAATTTAACATATATATGTAAACATTAAAATTAAAAATTAGATTAAGGTAATTTTATGATTAAATTTTGTGGTAATAAATTAAGTTATTTATGTTAATTTCTTATTTAAGTTGTTAAATATATATTTATGTGTTTAATTTAAAATGTTATTAAATGAGATAATTTTTATAATTAGGGTGTTTAGTTTAATTTATGATTTAATTTGTTAAATATATGTATTCATATGTTTAATTAAAAATGTTATTAAATTTTATGGTAATAAATTATGGTATTTAGTTTAATTTATGATTTAATTAGTATTATATATATATGCTTATTTTAAAATTTTATTAAATAAGAAATTAGATTAAAAAAATTAGATTAAGATAATATTATGATTTAATTTTATAGTAACAAATTAAGGTGGTTAGATTAATCTTATGGTTTAATTTATGGTAACTTTATGTTTAATTTAAAATGTTATTAAATTCTAAATCGGGTTAAAAATTAAAAAATATATTAAGGTAATTTTGTGGTACAAAATGATGGTGTTTAGTTTACTATAATTTTATTTGTTAAATATGTTATTAAGATGGGAAATTATATGCATTAGAGAAGAGAGAAAGATAATATATCATAGGGGCATTTATGTAATTTTACCTTTACTTTTAATAGAGTTTTAATAGAGTTAATTTTGCACTTTAATTCAAAACAGGGTTCTTTGTCTACTCAAAAAAAATAAAATAAAATAAAATAAAATTATAAGGAGATAAAGTGCTCTGTGACAAAACCACAAGGGGTTAAATAGAATTTTGCCCTCATTTATTTATTTGTTTATGTTGACAAGTAATTACATTTTGCCTCTTGTATTTTTGATAAAATTGTTAATATATGTAAAATTATTCATAATTATAACCACCCCTCTTTTGCAATCGGATGTACTTATTTTTAGAAATGTCGGTAAGCAAATAATTGTAACCACCCCTCATTTGCGATTGACTATATGTGATCGTAAATACTCATTTTTAGTGATCGTGCACTTTCACGTTACAAAAAAGCATAGTATTTGCAGAAGCAACAAGCCAAAACAAAAAACATAGGTTCTGTTTGGTAGAGTTTCTAAACTTTAATTCTATCATTTGGTTAGCACATGGTGCTTGTTTAGAATTTTTAAAAATTAATTTCACACTTATTTTTGAAAACTCTATCCAATGCGGGAAAATTTGAGCTAATCGGTCGTCATCCCAGACATCCGGCTGGTTAACCGGCACAGTACATTTTATTTTATTTATTTATTTTTACAATTGCCACCTGTTATTTTTTATATTTAAAAAAAAATCTTGAAATTTTTTAAAATTTTTTATGAGTTTTAAATAGAATTTTGAGTTGTGTGTTTGGTTATGAGTTGTAAGTTTTTGTATCAAATATCATATGTCACATCAAAAATTTCTCACTCAATTCGAAACTCTTTTCGAAACTCATTCATCAAACAAATTTTTCACACTCAAATCCTAATTCCAAAACTCACAAACTCAAAGTACAACTCTATTCTCAAATCATATTTATGAAACTCTACTAAACGTTACCATAGTATTTACAAAAGCAACAAGTGTTTGGTGGTTTGGGTCTACCATTCATAAGGGAGTTTTATGAAGGGAGTTTGGGTCTACAATTTTCAATAAATGTGTGAAAAGAAAGTTGAGGTGGTGTGTGTACAATGGTATAAGTGAATGATATAATTAAAACGTGTAGTGTGTGGATTGAGAAAAATAATTAATAATCAAATTAATAAGTGTATGTACTGAAAAATGATGTGTACTAAGGTAAGTAAATGTGTGAAAATAGAATTCTCAAGAAAAAGTCTATAGAACCAAAAAAATAATCAAAAATTATCATGAATTTTAAATCTACAAAATACATTTAAAGTAATTTTTTTTTTATCAGCAAAAAAGAAACTTTATTGATGGAATAAAAAAAGTACAAAGTACAAGAGCAATTACATCAATAAAGAAGGCGAATGCACTAGCATCACGATGAGCAAAATCATCCTAACTAGGTTGGCACCAAATTCCACACCGTATCATATGGTAGTATCCCCTAAGTTGGAGAGCAACCAACAAGAAAACGAGTGAAACAACCAGACAGAAGAAAAACAGAGAAAAAACCAGAACAATCCACCTCATAACAACAAGAGTATATGATATGCCACATCAATGAAGCACTAACTTAGTGTAGACACCTCATTTTTTACCGCACTTAGGACTTAGGTGCCACTGGATCCAGTTCCATTTTGACAGTTGCTAGTTGGTTCACCAGATTTTGGAACTCACTGGTGTGTTCTATAACAAAGATGCTGCCTTTCAACTTTAAATTTACAAGCCTTCTCATTAGGAGGGCTTTATTCCGAGGAGTCTTCGACTGGTACATGTCTTCTAATTTTGTCCAAAGAGCATATGCATCAGTCTCTTGAGCGACATGGTGGAAGACACTATGATCGATCCATTGTCTGATCTGAATAATGGTGTTTCGGTTCTTCTGTTTCCAGTCTTCATCCTTCTCCGCAACTGGTTTAACTCCATTAAGCTCAATGGGGTCAGACAAATCTTGACAGTACAGGACATCCTCCATTCTAAGCTTCCAAATTGCATTGTTGGAAACATTTAGCTTGATCATGGATCCCGAAATCGATGTTGATTCATCCATCAATAATTGTCTCTATAGAAAATTATCTTTGTCTGAATAATCAGACTTCGTCGTTGAGTCCAGACTGGTCAAATTAGCTGGAAAAGTACTTTGGATTGCCAAAATAAAAATTGTAAATTTTTTAAGTCTAATTTGCAAAATCTGACTGTACAGATGTGTCCAGAATATTCCAAATAGTTAGAAAGCACTATTGGATCGTCAAAAATAGACTTCAAATGGCTCAGAACTAGACGGTTCAGATCGGCAGAATCTGGAGCACCTGAGAAGCATCGGATAATTACTCCAGATCAACGTCAATGGCTTAGGCAGCTCAGTTTCGACTCAGCTTGGCTCTGGTGGAATTTTTGAAAGAAAAAAAAAGATTTGTCTCCAAAGAGTTTTAAACTCTTGACTTCCAACACCTAGGCTTTACCTACTCTGCCAACACAAGACTTGTGTTCTATATCTTCACAAATAAATATTTATTACAGAAAAACAAAAGGGTCATCTTCAACTTCTACTTCCTCGTCAGATTGAACTTTCTGGTGATTCTCCGACAAGTCTCGGGTGACACGCGTGAAGGCGCGTGGATAATCTTCTTGGATTGATTTTTCTGGGTTTAGAATGTTCTCGTCGAGAAGGTCCTTTTGGTGTACTCAAAGCGTGATTTCGAGCAACTCAAAAAATTTAGTTTTGAAAAAAAACACTATTTTTTTTAAACTCGCTCACCTTAGCTCTAATACCACTTGTTGGTATTAAATACAACCATAAAATGATCAACAAACAATCACACATACAAATGAGACACAAATATTTACATGGTTCGACCCAATGCCTACATCTACGGGAGGAGAAATGAGAATGCACTATAAACAGAGTAAAAATACAAAACAGAGGATGAGGAGTCTCTCACTCTCTCTACTCAACTCACAACTCTCTCTTTTCTTCACATTCTGATATCTCAACTCAACTCACAGCTTTCCCCATTTATACATAAACGGGAGAGCCAAAAATCAACAATTTCTTGCCAACAACCAACCACCAAAATAAATGGCAAGCTATTAACACTACCACCCTGCAAGAGGATAGTCCAAATTTACACCCTCCATTCTTGACTTCCATAGCCAAGTTCACATGGTGTGGATACTCAACAATTTTAATTCACGAATGTCCACTATGAAAGAGGTGACGGAGACACTTAGAGATAATGAGATCAACATCATTGGAATATGTGGAATGGGTGGTATTGGCAAGACAACAATGGTGAAAGATGTCGCCATTAGAGCAAAAAATGAAAATCTATTTGATGAGATTGTCATGGCAGTAGTCTCTCATAGTCCAGACTTGTGGAACATTCAAGGTCAAATAGCAGACAACTTGGGATTTAGATTGAGAGAAGAAACTTTATTTGGAAGAGCAACTCATCTACGACAGAGAGTAGCAAATGGTAAGAGAATCCTTCTTGTACTCGATGATGTTTGGGAATGGATCGATCTTCAGGCCATTAGGATTCCTTTCTGGGGTGAGAATAAGGGTTGTAAAGTTGTGTTGACGTCACGGAGCTTGGATGTACGCATAGGAATGGGATCCCAAAAGAATATTGAAGTCAAAACCTTAGTGTAGACACCTCATTTTTTACCGCCCTTAAGACTTAGGTGCCACTGGTTGATCACTCGATGATGAAAATTGTGTTATGCAAATGTTCGATTTCTTCAGCAAGAAGAGCTTCTAAATCCCAACCTTACACCCCACTTTCGCCAAAATGATTTTAGACCAAAATTATTTTAGACCTTAAAACCCTCTCTTTCAAAATATCTTTGAAAAGTTTCTACGATATTCCAAGGCTCATATTTCGTTAACAGTTGCACTTTTTGGTAAACCGAGCAAAGACAAAGTGGAAATAAATGGAAGAGAGGTGAAATCTTTGAAAAATCTTTTTAAACATCTTATTTAGAGGTTTGGAGTTAAAGAAAATTGGAGGAGATGGAAGAAACCTAGTTAGGAAGAAGTTAGGTATCAAACCGTAAAAGGAGACTTGAGCAACCTACACTAAATCAGGCCTACCCTTTTGTACACTTAGGCTTGGGTTTTGAGGCCTCCACCATTGGAAATTGGACTTTCGGGGCTTCATTTTACACTCAAGAATCTCCTAAAGTCGAGTCCGAATGA